ATCCACTGTCCAGAGACAAAAGTCAGGTCGAGCGTGTGTCCCCTGTTATGGGTGGGGTCTTGAATTAACTGAGTTAGGTCCATAGCGGTCATGGAAGCCATGAACTCTCGAGCTGACTCGGATGTCTTGTCAATGGAAGGGAGATTGAAATCCCATAAGCCTGGGGAAATCAACCGCCAATCCAGCTAATAAAATCAGCAGCTCCGGCAGGGCCGATGAAATATAGCAGGGAGACAGGTAAGTAACAAAAAGGGCCACCTGAACTCCAAGGCCCCATTTCACAAAAAGGGACTCACACCCACCTATCTGAGACACAGTGACCTCCTGAGGTCCAAGACTTTCCCTAATAACCACTGCCACCCCCTTGCCCCTGCCCTGGGCTCTCGGCTGGTGAAACGCTCGGAAGCCTGGTGGGCATAATTCACTAAGGGGAACACCCCCTCATGGCCCAACCAGGTCTCTGTAATGCACACCAGGTCCGCTCTACCCTCTTGTATGAGGTCGTAAATGAGGGGAGCCTTATGTACCACGGACCTGGCGTTAAGCGACACCAGCCGGAGACCAGGGTCCTGTAATCCCGAGCACCAGGGGGTGCAATTATTTTTACTTACTTAATGGGGGGAGAGCGAACAACTCAAGTTGTTTTTTAAAAAGGTAGAAAAAAATTAATAGACTAATGGATAACTTTTTTTGAAAAATTAGCCAAATCTTTAAAAACAGTGGGCCTTTAGCTGAATATAATATGCTCAAAATCAGTGTCAATAAACTAACACAAATCTTTAACTTTTTTTCTCTTCTCTTTTCCCACTCTTAAAATGGAACCTTATTTCTTTTCAGCAAAAATATTTCCTTCTAATGATTAATATACTACCTTCCATTATCTTGGTCCATGTTGAAAATACATGTTGTGAGAAAAAGCACTTTTAATGCTGAGTGTATCTCCAGTTGATGAGTGATGGGAAGTAGCTTTTCCACCCATTATCAACATCTCTTCTTCTTTAATTTCCATGGATTTCTTATAGAGCTCAGCAGCCTTCTCAAACTCACCCACTTCATAGCTTTGGTGAGAAAAGAAAGTAGGATTTAATAATGTCTTAATAAAGGTCTCTTGTTTGACCAGGAGGTTGAATTAGAGGACCCCTAAGATCCTTTTTAATTCTATTATTCTGTTAAAGACTCATAATCTACATTTAGTACCTAATCCTTACACCAGGTCATCTGTATACACATAAACATCCACCATCTTTCCTATTACAGCCCAGATTCAATAATATGGAGAATTTTTTATTCAGTCATATGCAGCCTCCATCCTTAGCTAGATTTTGCATAGACTAGAAATAGACTGAATGCCTCAAAATATAGCTGTATAAATTCTTCTGATAGTCAATATCATCAGTCTTAAATTTAAAATGTTTCCATTATATCATCAATATAAATGTTAGAGGCTGCTATAATTAGTGGCAATTTATTTATCCAGAATAGAACAAGCACGTTTACTTGTTACCTTAGCACAGCCAAATTTTTTAATGTTTCCCCTACACGAGGATGCATATGCCCAAAGCTGTCTTCATAAATTTTCAGTGCACGTTCATACAGAGGCAATGCTTCCTGATGTTTTTTCTAAAAGAGATAAGAAAAAAAAATAGGCATGTATTTTTTAAAAAATTTATTGAAATTCATTTTAAAGTCTGTTTGCCTATAGGACAAGGTTGATGCCTACAGGAAGTGAATATCCCCTCTCCCAAAATTTTAGCAGTTATTACAGTAAGTAAAATAATGTGCAAACATAAGATCCTTCCTCCCTTTCTTCTTCTATCCACGAGAAGGACAGATTTGTGGGGAGGAAAGTTTAAGTTTCTCCATGAATTTCAAACTCAAAATTGACTAGCCACTGACCCATTCCTGAATATGTGCCCTTTCTCTGAGTTTCTTTTTTTAAATAGCCAGGAAAAATATGACTGGAAAAAAACCCTATATAATTTCATATAATAAGCAGCACATTGATGCACATCCTACTTCTGTATCTATATCAATTTGTCTCAAATTAAAGTATTTTCACTTGTTTTCATGCTAATGACATTTGCTAATCTGTGTTTTTCAGAGTACCCAAGATATGAGTTTTAGGATAAACATATATATCATCATATATTTTACTTTTTTTATTAAGGAAAGAAAACCTACCATTTGACAATAAAGAACTGCCAGATTTACTAAAGCAGTAGCCACACTTGGATGTTTTGGACCAAAGGATTTTTGTCTGATTTCAACAGCAAGCTCATACAGAGGAACAGCTCTGTCAAGCTTTCCCTAGGAAACAAAGCAAGCATGAGCTAGCTAAAAGTACATCAAAACCAGGGATAAAATCCTCCCGATTCAGCCTGCGCGATTGTCAGAAGCTATTTTTTAAGATTTTTAAAGCATTTAAATTTTTTAAAGCTTTTTAAAAAGCTGAAAGTAAAAAAAGTTGGGCATACCCACCCACCAAGCCACAGCCACAGAACTGGAGGGGGGGGGATTAGATTTCACCACTGATCAAAACAAAAACTTTGCAAAACAGAAACGTTTACATTCTGGGTGTTTTTTTCCTTCCTTTCTTTCCACAATTCAGTCTTGAATAGTGATAACTCCACAGACAAGTCCATACATTTTTAGGCAGCATTTATGGAAGTGGTTTGCAACTGTTTTTTTTTCCTAGAACTGAGACAGAGTGTCTGTCACAAATTCATCTGGTTGACTTCAATATAGGAGTATATCTCATATTTCTCTGCTCTTAATCTAGTGCTTTAACCAAGAGATTGGTGCTTCTTAAATTGGGGGTAATTTAAGCATATTCTGGAGGTAATGAAGCAATTTACAATTGCTTGTTTCTGAATGAGAATCTACTTTGGCGTTGCTGGGGTTGCTGCCAAGGTATTTGTGTATAATAGCAGTCTAGGATCTTTTCCTGCCTGGAAAAAGAGGTTACGGGGTTAGTTTAAGAAATATGCTAGAGATGTGCAGAACAGTTTGAATTACAAACACTTTGAGCACATAGTAACTGATTCAGGTAACTTGTATACAAAGCAAAATAGGTAGATGTTTGTTCAAGTAGCATCCAGAAACAAGATCATTTTTCTGGATGGGAATTAAAATTTCATATGGAAAATGTATCAAGTGTTGTATTTCAGATAACAAGATGAAGCCCAATTTTCAACTCACAAGCAGACCAAACTGTCCTCTTTATAGGCCCAAATTCACATCAGTAGTATGTAATCAGAGATAAAACGGTTTTGTTTCCCAGCTTGGGGCACTAATGCCAATAGTCCAACCCAGTGATGATCAATGATCAGAAATTCCAGGCATTAAATTCTAAAGTATCCATAATGTTAGATATCAATACTTACCAGCTTTTTGTAAAGCACAGCTAGATGTTTCACAGTGTAAGCCAAAGAAGGATGGTCAGATGCTAATGCTCCTCTCCTGATGTTCAATGCTCGCTCATACAATTCCTCTGCCTTGTAATAGTTCTTCTTTTCATTGTTGAGTGCTGCTAAATTGTTCAGTGACTGAGCACAATCAGGGTGACTGGGTCCAAGAACCCGTTCTCTCATTTCCAAAGAGCGTTTCAAGAAAAGTTCTGCTGTCCTATCAGCCAGTTTAGAAATAAGTATCAGTGTATATTGTCATGTCAATGGCACATCACTGTAATAACGCTAACAAACAGAAAGGTTGCTAATTTATTTTAATGAAAACACCCGTGCCCAAGAGGTTACCGGCATATAATGATAGTCATATCACCATCCCTGCCCTGAAGTCATGGCTAATGCCACACTCAAAACCTAAGAGGACACATTTCAGAGAAGGGAGCCTTCCCTTCAGTGGCTCAGTCACAGAGATCAGGTCAGCCCTCATCCTCAAAACATGAATGGATAGCAACAAATCTGCATTCAAGATAATAATTAAGTCATGTCACATTCCAGTTGAAAAATAATGTAGAAAGAAAATCACACAATTTGCTACCAGGTTTAGTTTTGACATTAAATTCTATTACCTGATTATTATTATTAGTAAATGACTCTTTTTAATTTAGTATCTGTATAAATTGAGATAAGTATGATTTATTAATAAAAATACCGTGTTTCCCCAGTGAGTCAGTGGCCGCTCTGGATGTATGCTCTATGATTGTACGCTCTGGGAGTACGCTTTGGTGGCAGCCGGCTCACAACTATAAAGCGTATGCCCAGAATGGTCACTGCCGGAAGACTCGGTTTGGAAGCTGCTATAAAAGTCATGCTGGGATGGTGGCGGCGGGAGCGGAGGTGCTCTGGCTCTGCAAAGAGAGCTGGGCAGGGCATCATGAGGCTGGGAGGCGCACGAGCGGGAGCGGAACAACTGCTTGCGCAACCCCCTCTCTAGCCATGTAGAGCACCATTCACTGGCATTTCAAAGGCACAAAGCTGCGGAAGCAGGGCGGCGGCGAACAGGTGCTCGCATGGCTTGGCGATACCCTTAGGTCAGTGAATGGCGCTGTGCCCGGCTGGAAAGGGCGGTGACCGCGCAACACAGCCGTTTGCCCCTGAGCCTGTGCCTGGCTTTTGGGGAGCCTGCTCGCAAGACAGTAGCTGCCCAGCAACCCCCCTCTCCAGCTGGGCATAGCGCCACTCACCAACCTAGCAGTATCCCGAAGGCACCAAGCAACGTGATCACCTCCCCCCCCCCCGGTTTCTGCGACTTGGCATCTTCAGGATACCGCTAGCTTGGTGAGCGGTGCTTTGCCTGGCCGGAGGTGGGGTTGTCCAGGGGGCCTATTTGCAGGGGAGGGCTTATATTTTTACCCACCCAAAAATGTGGCATGGCCTTATTATCAGGACATGTCATATGTTTGGAAAAACATGGTAGTTACTTTCCTTTCCATGAATTACAGATAGAGATCTGATCTGCTTAGTCAGCTCTTAAGATTTTCTTATCAGAAAAAAGCCTATAATCAATAATTATCAAACAGCTTAAATTAAATTAAATTAATATACACACACATACTGAACATAACATGTCTGAACTCCAATTCTGTAGTCATCTAGGAAATGTGATTGGCCAAAATATTTTGAATTCATACTATGTGATCTACATAAGAATAAAGCTGTCTTTAATATCATGCTTTGTACTGGCAAATAAATATCAAGTTTTCCTTTGAGACTGATAAACTTAACATTTTACATTTTTTATTACAAAGGTTAATGCAATCACAAAGGCCATTCATTTTAATTACATTAATTTTTCTATCCTTTAAGCAAGTAGAAAATATTCATTTAATATTCTTAATATATTTATTAAAAAGCTATTCAATATCACTATTTCCAGAAATGGAATTCTTGATAGAAGCTATCAAAAAACCATTCAACTTAAGATATATCAGTTGTCACCTGGTTGTTACTTACTCTAGATTATTCTGAAGATAGTAGAGAACTCCAAGCTCATTAAGTGTTCGAGCATTATCTGAGGTATCTTTACCTAAAGTCAGCTCTTCCAACTGCAAAGATCGTTGACGAAGAAGAGCAAATCCATACTAAAACCAAATGAGGAAATTATTGCCTTGATATTCTACTGTCCAATAGTAAAACTAAGGAAAAACATGCTTGGCGTCAACCTGAAGAATTCATGACATAATCTGAATATGGATTGTTCTACAAAAAAAAATGCATGCATTACAAACTAGTGTACAAAAGGTCCTCTCCGGTTTGATACTATATTTTAAAGCAAGGAAAGGAGAAGGTTAAATTATATTATAAAGTATATAAATATATCCCCCAAATTACCTATCCATTTAGATGAGAGACAGAGAAAGAAAGAACATTTGCATGAAAAATCTCCCTTCTTAAAAACAAAAGCTAAAAAAGAGGGGGGAGAAAGAGAAATAAGTAGGAATGACAGTACTGCTAGACATTTTCTCATATTATAAAAATACTTCTGATTTTTAAAAGCTTTGAGAAAAAGGAATCAAAACAAACTATTTTTATATGGAAAGTAATATAGCTAAATGTGATATAAAACTTTCAAGTTGTATTCAAAAATGACACTTGAATTAATTTATTGCAATTGACAAAACTATGTAAATGAATACATACTAACAAGAATGCCAATCTAATTTGACAATAATTTGCCATTTTTCTAAAAATGGTGACTCAAGCCAACTGTCATTGCTTTTATAAAGACATTGAACACTATTCAGTGAAGTTACATGCATTTACCAGACTGCCTTTCCGTCTTGCAGTTTTTTGCTGAATTTTGAAGGATTTCTTCCTAAGATGTTCAGCTTGTTCAAATCTAAAATGAAAGATTCTATTAATAATAACAGTGGTAGATCAACAGAAATTTTAGCAGTAGAATATATTTAGAAGATCATCATTTCTCAGGATGTAATGGGTATTGGTTCCAAATAGAGAGGCCCTGCCTAAACAGGACTGTATAACTCTTCTTTAGAATATTGCTGCAGGCATCAACATATATAGATTTAAACCTTTTCCTTCTAATTTCATCTTTATGATTTTTCTTTCAGTTGTTCCCTTATTAAATCTGGCACAATGCAGACATCCAGGTTAATATGTAGCTTTCATGTAAGTATTGGCTATGAATATGAATGTTTGAACTTGAACTGTTGTTCTGGTTGAATTCTGATGATTCTATAACTAATCAGTATTATTTTCTTGGCAAAAATATTTTCTATTTTTTCTTCCATGATTTTTTTAGTTCCTAACGCAGCTTATGAGTTCTGATATTTTCTGCTTCACTTCCATCAGTGTATTTAGCTTTGTCCAAACTTAGCAATTTTTTTGTAAATAAGCTAAGTTGAAACCAAATTGAAGGAATTCTTTAAAATGATATTTCAAAAACTTTAGCTACAGTGATTTACAAAATGAATGAGGCAGGTAACACATAAACTAAGAAATATAGTAAAACAAATAAAAATATCTTTGTTTTATATACTGTATTACTTTCCAATCCTCCCTAATTTTTCTCCCAGGTTTTCATTAGATACAGATGAATTAATTAACTATTTAAAATCATTCTCAAACTTCAAAAATTTCGTTCTCTGGCTATTGCCCCCAATGTTCTCAAACCCAATTTCTTGGCCAACTCAATACCAAGAAAATTCTAGCAGCACCCGAGGAAAATCTTGTTAAAAATGAAAGGGGGACAAGTTCTGGATAAAACGTTTTTTCCTTACTTGTTCTGCTTCTGATATAATGTTGCCAGAGCATCAAGTTCACGAGCTATCCTGAGATGATCAGATCCATAAGCATTTTCAGAGATTTCAAGTGCTTGTTTATATAACTGCTCAGCATTGCCATATTTCTTCCATTGCACATAAACACTAGCTAATTGATGAAGTGACTGGGCCACTTTGGGATGATCTGGATCAAGAGCAGTCTCTCGAATCTCCAGTGAGCGCTGCAATGGAGCAATTGCCTGTGAAGAAGGTGGGTTTTTCTTTTTAGAAAAGGATGGACAGTAACACACATAAACACATACACACACATACACACACACAAACACACCTACCTGGCCCTAGGCTTAATGCCAGTTGTTGGCTTAATTCTACATGAGGTTGTTTGATTCAGTAAAAATGATAATATAAAATCAGGTGCATTGATTAATCAATCACACAGCTAAACATATACAGATATCTTATATCTGTTGTCAAATTTCTATAATCATGAAAAATAAGAAGCATCCTTAATTAGAAGACTAAGGTTGATCAAATAAAAACTCAAGTTTCTCCAGAAATCTGATTCTACATCTGCCACTAAAAAACAGAGATCTGAATGTGTCTTCTTTTCTGGAGAGGTACTTACCTGACTGAGAAGACCTAGGTCTTTAAGAAATTGTCCCAGGGTCTCATAAAGATCAGCCAAACAGATCATGCTTTCTTCTCCTTCACAATTTTTCTCATATAACTTTAGAGAACTAAAATATTCTACTGCCATGGAGCTCTTATCTTTTCCAAGAAGCTGCCAGTAGCTGAGTAGTTCTGCAAAATGTCCCCTATAAGCAGTAAATATAACTCATTAAAACATTCTAGAATCTTATTGGTCAGGTTAATATATTGTGTGAAGTAATTACATAGATTGTTTGCTTTTGGTTTAGCACAACAGCTTTTACTTTATAGGTGAATTGGACCACAATAAGTGGCTCATAGTGTTTTTTTTTTTCACTACAGCAATGTATGAACCAATCTGGCAATACAAAATAAACACATACCAATTTTATAAAGACACTGAAATACAAACATTTTCAACAGGTGCCTATGTATCTTATAATCTATCCCTGCCACACTGCCTTTGAAACACTTAGCATACAATTTTAAAAGCTAGTGGTCTGGATCGTGGCTGTCCTTCTTATAGAACTGCATTGTTCTGTTAGGAAATAATGCTCCTGACAATAACATCAAATTAAAAACTTTACAGCAATGTAGAATCATACTCCAAAACAGGGGTGAAATGCCGAAATTCAGGCCGAACCAGTAGTAAAAATGCTACTGGTTTGCCAAAACTGGAATAAACAAATGCTTTAAAAAGTAAAAAAAAAAAAAAAAAAAGTTTAATCACACATCACAGCTTTTTAAGCATTTTTTTTACCACCAGTTCAGGTAAAATGCTAAAAAGGTTTTTAAAAGGTTCCAACAATGAGCTGTGACAATCAGCTGTGCTGCACGATTGTCGAACCTTTATTTGTATGTGAAGTCCAGCTGCTTTTGCATTGTGTGAGTCAGTTCTATAGCTTTTGTTATTTTTGTGTAAAGTGTAATAGTTGGTTTTTGAACTCTCTATGATTCTGTGAGGTTCCTGCTTGTTGCCCGCCTGGTCACATGACCACCAAGCCATGCCCACCCAGTCATATGTCCACCAAGCCACACCCACAGAAGCGGTAGGGAAAATTTTTGAATTAACCACTGCTCCAAAAAGTAAAAATTCATAAACATGTATTTAATATATCTAGATTTTATAGCTACCTAATTTGTGTAATTAGGACCCTAAGAAGCATAAATCAAATAGCTCCCTCCTTCCAAATATAAAATATTTTATGGCAAATAAAACAAACATGAATCAATATAAAATTCAACACATTTTGCAAGATCTTGAACTCAGAACCTCATATTCTAAGATTAAAATAGGGTGATCAAATTTATAAAAGAGATCAGAGAGAGCTGAAGTGCCTCAGTGAGACAGTCAGGAAATCTGTAGGCTCTGAAGAGCTTCACATAAATTCTTCAGACCAGAACTTTCTTGGAGGGAAAGTGAAGAAGGAGTTGCATTTCAACAGACCAAGAGGAATGTAAATGGTTCCTCGCAGGTCAGAGACTAGCTCTCTGAATCGGCGGCAGGGGAGGCAACATTGTAAAATGGCTGCTACAACGCTGAGGGATCTGGATTAAGTATCGAGCAGCGGTGGTGATTAGAAGAAGTGCAGAGATCTGGTGAGAAGATTTAAATAATCAACTGACACAAATCAGAATTTGGAAATGGGAAAGAACTTTGTGAATATAAAATACTATTAATGGACAGATTGGGAATTTGGCAGAAAGGAAAGAGAAAAAAAGAAAAAAAATGTCGTTTAAATGGTTAAGACCAAAAAGAACTGCTTGCTTTAAATAACTTGGACACAGAAATGAGAATTGGCTACCCATTGAAATAAAAAGCTTTGAATTTGGATTTGAAAAGACTATGTCTTTAACTGACAATTGGGAATCTCATGGAAAAGAAGGAGGGAGGGGGAAATGGAGGCTAAAATACCAAGACTAAGGAAACTTGCTTTGCTCTAATCTACACATCTTAAGCCACCCTAATTAACTAGAGGTGGAAAATAACTAAAGGAAGAATCAAGAAGAAGTTTTTGTCTCTCCCCTGTCGGTAATTTTATCTTTTTTGGATTTAAAATTAGAAAGCTGTACAAACAAGTTCAAAGAACTGAGGAGCTGCATTGCCATTTGCCAGAAGGAAGAAAAACACTACTTGAAGAACATGAAAGCAAAACTTTACCATTTAAGGAGATTTTGTTTTTGCACAGATCATTTGGTTTTGCCCCTGGACAGTTATGGAAGAAAAGAAGAATGTTTTCTTCCTTTTTTTTTTTTTAGCTGAACTGGAATATTTGAGCTGGATTAGAATTGGAAAATAAGAAGAAACTGTGGAACCTAAATTGTAATTATAATGTATTTTAAAAGATAAAAACTGAACATTTTAAACTGGACACTATGAAAAGTTGGGAATTTGAAGAAATATGCAAGATTATAAAAAATATGCATGAGTCATTAAAATTAAATAGAGATGTGAAGTTAGATATTAAGGAGAAACAAGAAGCGAGGGAAGAAGGAGGAAAAGAAAGTGGAACTACAGAAAAAGCAGTAGAAAATAAAAAAACCAGACAAAAGATTTCACAGGGTTTGACAGTGGCATAGGAAAAATTGAAAAGGGGGATATGGATATGTCCCAACAAAGAAAGGGAAGAGGATTATAGAAGGAAAGGAAATGGCCGGCAGGCATAGAGAAGAAAGAAGGGAATGAGTATACCACAAAGAAAAAACACAATAATAAAAGAAAAGAAGGAAAGAAGACAAGGAGACAGATAACTTTGAGGAGTACATGCCAAATGGCGCAGCAGAGGGTGATAAAAAAGTATGATGGACTTGTAAAAAGGTTAAAGCATTTTGGATAAAAATATGGTGGATTATGCAAAATGTTCTTTAAAAAAGGATAAAGTTTACCCCACAGTTATTCCTGTTAGGTATAATTACTGACTGTACAGTTATAGAGACTAACTTAATTTTGCATTTAATAATGGCAGCAAGACTGTTGGTGGTGCAATTCTGGAAGAAGGAAGATTTGCCTACTATTCAAGAATGGACATTAAAAGTAACAAACCTAGCAGAGATGACTAAAATATCAGCATATCTCAATGATCACTCAAATGAGAGATATAAACTGGAGTGGAGAAGATGGATTGACTATATTCAAAATAAATATGGGACTAAGAAATTCCAGATAGTTTATGACTGAAGAAACAAGGAATGATATAATCTGTTTAGACTTAGCCTAGCAAAGAGGAGTTAAAGCTCAAATGAAAGATGATACTAACTTTCTTTAAGTTTATTTTAGAATATCTTTGTTAAAGATTTATACCCTGTATTGGTTCTGGGAAGTCGGGGGGAAGGTTGGGGGGGGGGGGGAGGGGGGGGGGGAGGTAAACATTTGTAAAAGTTTTTTTTCTAAAATTTTCAATAATAAAAAAAAAGTCATGGAAGGAAGAATATATACCTAGTAGAAAGAAAAAGCAGAAGTTTAGAGTTGTGATAAAAGGCTCACTAGGAAGAAGTGAAAAGGATAAAGGGGAGGGGGGAGTGAAGATTAACAGGAGACAGGAAGACGGGAAGTACACACACACACACACACACACACACATATAAAGGAGTAATTATATTAATATGAATGATTAGTTAATTGGATATTTAGAAATTTCTATGTGGAGAATATAAGTGAGAGATATGTGATTTGTTCTTTTACATGATAGTTAAACTGAGTTGTTAATTAACTGAATAACAAGGATGATAATGAAAAGATAATTAAATATAAGTTAAAATATATGGAATATGGATATTATGAAGATAAGTACATATAGCACATTTTAGAAGATGAATATAAGTGAGGTGCATATTGCCTGCCATGTTATGTAGCAGATTAATGGAACTGTAATAAGCATTGAATAGCAAGGATTGTAACCAAAAGATAAATGTAAACTAAATAATGAAATTGGGGGGTGAGGGGATGGAGGCGAACTTGGAATATATTTTTAATGAAAAAAAATAACTGAGATTATAAAAAAAGAACTAAAAACTTGGGGAATGTAATGATGAAAATAGCTAGAAACTTTAACCAGGCCCAAACGTTGGCCAAAAAATTAGCTGAGGGGGGGGGGGATAAAAAAGGAGCGTATATGTTAAAATTATTAATATGAAATATGTTTATTAAAATGAAGCTACTAATACCATCAACATTAAATGGAACCTGCTCAGATGCTGAAATACACCATGCAAACGAGATGAAGAGAGTGGAAGAGAGAAGGGAAACAAGAGAAGAGAGGGGTTAGGAGAGGGGGGGAGAGGAGGAGAGAAAGAAGGAGTGGAAAGAGGAGAGAGGAGAAGGAGAGAGGAAGGGGAAATAGAGAAGAGAAAGATGACAGAGGGAAGAACGGAGGTAGGGAGGAGGAGAAAGGGAGAAGAAGCAAGAAAGCGATGGATAGGGTAATACATATGGTGTATGGAAAGCAGAAATCAAATGATAGTCTTTAGGGGTTGATGGTAAGACAACTTGTCATACTATTGAATAATACAAAATAGTGTTGATTATGATGTAATGGTATACATCTAGTTATTTGTATTTAAATACAAAAATAAAAAACTTATTAAAAAACTTATAAAAGAGATCCAATCTTAAAACATGTGTTCCTTATCAGAACATCATATTTTGAAACCAGATTATTTCTGCCATACTCAGAATAGATTTGGAATGTTTCATGGTCAGAACTTGTTTGCTTTACAATGTTTCAACAATTGTAGTTATAGGTTTTGAAATTACAGCAATTTCTGGGCCTCTTTTTACTATGTACTGCATATGATTTTTGCTCTGCACATGATTTTTGGACAAGCCATTATTTCCAACATATGAATGTACAAATATTTTTAGTATACAAATTAAATAAACAGAATTTAACCATCACATGAAATTTTTCTTTTTTCAAGAAATTTTTATTTTTATTAAACAAATAACACAAAAAAATAATCATCTTACATTATATCTTGTAGAAAGTATGTAAATTGGTTACAATTAGCTTTCGTGCATCTCTTCCACTGTCATTACTTATATTCATATCAAATATCAAAGATTCTTAATGAGTCTTACTATCAACATAACATAGTTCTCATTTGACTAAAGTTATTTTAGTGTCCTTTCAGCTAAAATAATCCATAGTTAAAAACACAACCACCTGAT